CTACCACGACCACTACCGCTACCACCACTACTACCACCACTACTTCCACCACTACTACCACCACCACCACCACCACCACCACGACCACCACGACCACCACGACCTCGATTTCCTCGACGACGGATGCACCCAGGATGAGTAAGGGCTTTTGCTGATTCTAGTTCAAGCATACGGACCAGCGACTAATGTTCAGGTTTCGTTGACGTCCTTGGCCACAACAACCTCGACCGCCGATGGGTTGTTGTCAGAGTTGTTGTCGACGACCACATCTCCCACCACGGCCGGTGCGGTACTTGCGGCCCTTTCCGATGACCTGCAGCGCGATATGGCCGCCTTGGTGGGTCTCCTGGCAGAAGCCTTCGGTGAAGGCATAGGAGGCACTGCAGGGGAGCTTTAACAGCCGTGGCCCTTTCCGAGCTTGCCTCACTTCAATTTTAATTGCTCGCAACAAGACTTTGCTTGTCAAGGTCAGCTGATGGCATCTGGGAGCATGACGGCAAACGCGACTTCGGATCTGGGAACGGCAAAAGCTTTCCAGCCGTAGCCCCGGCGGCTGAATGCTGCTCATGTAGGCATTCCCACATGGTGGCACAAGTTGACGGAGCTAGGACCACTGACACTTCAAGTTTGCTAGGTTACCCGGTTCGGGAACAAACGAAAGCTACACCGCCTTCACCGTGGAGGGCGCCCCGGTTGCTACTGTACTACCCCAACAGGCGGGGCGGGTTGACGCGTTCTGTGGGTCGCAGCTGCAGAGAGTGTCTTGAGGTCCGAGAGATGGGCTCCAACAAGGCGCTGGTTCTCACCACCTTGGACGGAAAGGTGGAGGACGTGGACAGGAGCTACTTCTCGGCTGGCTGGAGGGCGCAGACGGAGAGCGGGCGGCCGCTGGAGGCTGCTGCGCCGGCCGTGGATGTTTCCATCGTGGACACCAGAACCCTGATGACTCAAGACGTCTCCGTCGAGGGGGCACTGATCTATGTAAGGGTGACAGAGCAAGAGCCAAAGGCGAATTTCATGTGTGCCTACATGGCCGGTCCTGACTTCGCTGTTTGGTCCACTCAGGGTGTTCGCTTGGCAACGGAAGCAGAGCTGGCTGACTTGGCCTTGCAGACAGGTTCTTCGAAGCTCTCCGGCACCTGGTGCGCCACGGAGCACCTTTCCATCTTCGGGGTTTCCTGGACATTTTGCTGGATTGCACGTGGCTTGGTAGCATGACAGGCCATAGGTCGGGAAGACACAATGGGTACAATTGTGATGGCTGCGGGAAACATGTTTCTACAATGCTGTTGTGTTTTTGATGTCAACGAACGCCAACATGCTGTCCGCGGAGGGGCTGCGGGAGATTGTCGAACGGGAGGGCTGGTTTTGGCGGCCACCGGCTTTGATGATGTGGCTGCTTTTGCTGGGCTCGGTGCTGCTCCTCGTCTTCGGTTGCCGCCAAGATGCACGGGTGCACAGCTCTGGGTTGTGGCGCGACGAGTTTTTCCTCGCGGACATGCCCACAAAGGATGGAGGCCTCGCAAGCCTCGGAAGTCTCTGTGGGCTGTCCAAACAGGCCTCGGAAAGCCAACCTTCTCAAGACCCCGCCGAAGAACCGAAGAATCCAGGCATGTCATCGCAGAGAAGCTGGAGAGCTCGTCTGGGGAAGAGCTCAAGGTTTCTTTCATGGAAGCCTTCTGCCAACCTTTCGTCCTTATCCGAGGCACGTCGTCAGCTCCTCCGTGCTCCAACCTTGGCTTCGAGGCTTCGCGAGCGGCTCCTTTGCCAGAACACGCTCTGGGAAGCGGCACGCAGGTGCGGTCTGCACTGCAGCTCCATCGAGATGCACGTCTGGGGGCAGAAAGGCTGGGTCCAGGGGAGTGTGGCTGCGCAGAAGTCGCCGCAGCTGAAGGAGCTGGTCATGGCGCTGGATGAGGTGCTGCCGCAGTCATTCCTGACTATCCACGCTTCTCGTTGGCACCTGATCGGGACGGCTCTCTTCACGATGCACCCAGTCTACGAGCTCTCCATGTGCGACCTTCACATGACTGCGACGAAGCGAGCCAAGATCGTTGTGGACTGCATCCTCGGTTCTCTGTCGTTTGTGGCCTTGTTCTTCTCCGTGGACGGCACAGCTGTGGCAGCCAGGAGTCCATCGGAGTGTCCCTTGCAACAGGGAACACTCGTGTGGTACCTGTTCGTGGCTTTCTTTTCCGTGCTGCTGAGCTTTGTTCCGCGCAGTCTAGAGCTCTATCTTGCTCGCCGCAGCTTTGTGCCAGAGAGCCGCGATCATGCTCGTCAACTTCGGACAAGACGCCACAGGGATGCAGGGTTCTGGGTCTTCAGCACGTGTCTCGCGCTCCTCTATCTCCTGGTTATCATTGCTTTCTTGGCCAACCTGTCCGAGGCAGACGAGTGGAAATGGATGTTTACCTTCTGGGTCGTTCTCCTGCGCAAGCTCTTCATCGTGCCTGTCTTGGCATGCCTCGTCTCGGGGCTTGGGAGCGTGGCCGTCGGCACGGCACCTGAGCCACCCAAGAAGTTCGGCTTGGACTTCTCCTCGCTTTGCGACGGCGGCGAAGGCGAAGGAGACCAGAAGAGTCAGAAGAGCGAAGGCCAAGGAGCTTGGGCCGAGAAGGTGCAGGAGCTGGCTGGCAGGGGCCTCACCATCCGCCAGCTGCTCGAGTTCTATGCCATGCTGGGTCGCGAGGTCATGGAACACTTCAGCCCAGAAGAGTCAACCACACACGATGCGCCATGCTGAGACTTAGAAATCTCGTCCTTATTTTTTCTAAGCCTGCATGTCAAGTTCAAGTGCCCGACAGTTTCGGAAGCCGCTGTGAGAAGTGTCAGGTCGTACGCCAGGCCATCATCCCGCTCTCTCTGCACATGAAACGGCGCCGCTTCGAGGTGGTCATCCATGAGACGGCGGCCTGCAAGAAGGCCCTCGATGCTCTCCGAAGTGCTTCGGCCCCTGCCCCTGCCCTGGAGATCTGCGTGGCGAAGAAGGGCCTTGTTGGTGAGAGGGGTGAGAGGGCCGTGAGCTACGCGGTGATCTGGGACGAGGCCATCCTGGTGGAGGACCTCTGCCTTGACGACGGCCTGCTCTTCCGTGTCTCCGACAAGGAAGAGCTCTCCTTAACCGTGGCGGCCACAGACTTCTGGCAAGGCTTCAAGGGACCCTTCCAGCTCGACGGCTTGGAGCTGCACGTCCTGGCCTTGGCCTCCCTTGTTGACACGCTTTTCCCCCGGGTGCTTTGCGTCTGAGCGGGCCGCTGAGGTTACCATCTTGGTCAAATCCGACCTGGATGAGGTCCAATCCGAGCCAAACGAGGAGGAGGGTGGCAACCAGACGTGCCAGGCAGAGGCGACAGCGCAGGGCTCAGTGTCGAAGCCTTAGGCAAAGGTCACGTTGTCAGCCTGCGCTCATGAAGCCCAACAGCCCCAAGCGCATGTGGGCAGGCGGCGAAGGTGCAGGCGCGGGGGGTGATGCCAAGTTCAGCGAATGCTCCGCTTCCAGGCATCCTGGCCCAACTTGTGTACAGGGTTCGAGGCGGCCCAGCTGCCAAAGAACTTCGTCCCACTCAGAAGGAGTCGCAGTCCTGTCCATTGTTTGGTGTTTCCTCTCTGCTTCTTCGTCTTCTTGATGCTGCTGCTTTCCGCCGCAGCCGTCACAGCTGCTGCTGCTGCTGGTGTCGGTGTCGGT